GGTGTTTGAGGACTTGGCCAGATGAGTTTTGAGTATCTCCAAGAATGGAGATTCCACCACCTGTATGGACAATCTCTTTCAATATTTGGCCAACCTCACGATGGAAAGAGTTTTTCATTATACCTAATAGGAATTTCTCATGTTACGACTTTTACTCATTGACTCTTGTCCTATCACTGCTCACCTCTGAGAAGACTCTGGCTCTGTCATCTCTATAACCTCCCATTAGACAGTTGTAGAAATAATAAGATAACCCATCCCCTTTGCCTTCTGTTTTTAGGGGAAAAAAATCTTATGAAAAAAATAGCTGAGGAAAAAATAATCTTTTCTTGTATGCCCTATGTTCCAGTCCCTTCATTATCTTGGTGTTCCTCTGTGGGGAGTGGACGAATGGAAGCTTACAAGGAATGCAGAGAGATGCTTCAAGGACAGGGGGCCTCTCAGGAAGACATCCATCTCGAAGTGCTCTGACAGCTGGAGCCAAGGAAAATCCTGAAGTCCAGTGATAAGAAACAGGTCCTCCACAGGACCCCCCTCTCCTGTACCCCCTTTCCCTATATGGCCAGGCATATATTCCTGACCTATCTTTCCAAGCCCCCTTATCAGAAACCCTTTGAATTCGATGTTTCCTAGCACAAACCCACCCTTGTACCAGAACTTTCTAAAGCCCCCCTATATAACCAGATTTGTAATAAAGGAATTCGCCATTTTGCGAGCCATATAACACTTGTGTGTATGTCTCATGTTCCTATGCAAGATAGGCCCTGGTTCAATTGCGTGGACATCCCCCGCCACGCAAGAAATGGTGCTCCGTGTGAAGCAGAACTCATCGTCCTTACATTAAGGACGATCTCCACTTTCGCAAGAGCTACTGATAGATTCGAGTTTCCGGAGCTCAGATCTATCCCCAGAGACCCCACTCACAGAAGTCGCCCGTGGACTCCTGTCCACCCAGTTCTTGCCCGCTGTAACTGCGTGTAGCAAATTACGTGCACCCCGGCGGAACCCCTGCGGTTCCGACGAACAGCCAACCGCGCTCAGAAGCGACCGGTGGTAAGAACCGGGGACCCCACAGCCGCAGACACCGCCCGCCAGCTCCTGCGGCGAGCCCCCGCGACTCCCTGGGCCAGCCCTGCCGAGCGCCACCGCCCCCCCCCCCGGGCTCCCCGGCTGCCCCGGCCCCCGCCTCCCGGTGGCCACCGCGCGGCCCCGGACCTGCCTGCCGCTCAGACTCGCGGCACACAGCCGATGCGCGCCGACCCAGCAACGCCCCGCGCCACTCCGCGCCGCCGTAGGACACCGCCGCCCGGCGGGCGCCGCACGCGGCGCTAGGGCCGCCACCACTTTAGAGGCAGCCCCTCCGGCGCGAGAGCCAGCGCCGCCACCCCGCCCGCCGCCCTCAGCTGCGCGCGAGACGAGCTGCCCCGGCCCCGCGCGGCCCCGCGCCCACCGCTGCCGCCTGCCCGCCGCGGCACGGAGAGGGACCCGCCGCCGCCGCTCCGAGACGCCGCGGCGCCCGCAGCACCCGAGCTGCCCCCTCCCCCCCGGTGCGAACGCCGGCGGAGCTGCCGCCCGGCACCCCCCCGCCCCCCACCGCCGCTGCCTGCCTCTGCCGCCGCGAAACCAGCGTACCTGCCCACCGCCGCTGAGACCCCCCCGCCCAGAACACGTCTCTGCACCGCGCAGTACAGCCCGCTCCGGTCGCCATTCCGACCGGAGGACATCTCACCGAGAACACCTGTGAGTGATCTCCATAAAACCCCTTCCTTTTAACCTTAAAATTATGGGAAATAGGCTCTCTAGATCAGAAAAGCAATTTTATGAACATATAAAAGCTATAGTAATTTTAGAAGGGCATCCTTATGAGGAAATATCCATCAAAGCCCTAACGAAATGGGTTTCTAAATGTAAGCTTCTGTCCCCAGAATTATTTCTCTATCGACAATGGTTCAAGTTAGGAAATTCCTTGGTACAAGCTTTCGAAAAGGGAGACAAATTAGCGGGAGATTCTCTAACGGCGTGGAGAATTGTTTTACCCCATTTGAAAAAACAGAAAGAAACTGGAAAAGAAACCCTTCCCCCGGCATTCAAAAAGCCCGCAAAAACTAACAAGCCCCGCCTACCGAGCTCACAATTTGGCGCTGAGCGCTGCCCCCCCACCCTGAGCCGCGCGGGACAGCTGGCCACGCCCCCACCCCGGGAGGACGTCAGCGTGCAACATGATTCCAGCCCTGGCTCCACCCCTCATTCCTCCCCCCACCCCAGCAGCCTCCGTTTCTCTAAGGGGAAGGGTCGTAGCAGACATAACTCTGACGGCAACGAATCCCCGGATGTAAACATCCGGAAAAATGGCGGCGCCCATGAGTCCCGTGCCACAAATAAAAATCCTGTAACAACAGATACCCCAGCCTATACCGATACAGGCGGGGACCCCCCTCCCACAAAGAGCAAATGGGAAGGTCCACGGAAACAAGCAGAAGAAGCAGGGGACCTAGAATTACTGAAAGTTTTCCCCGTTTTCCGAGAAAACAACCAAGAGCCCCATTGGGAACCCGTTCCCTACCCCATCTTAAGGGACGCAAAAAAAGCGGTCACGGATTACGGACTGAATTCTCCTTTTGTTTCTGGGATGCTGGACTCCCTCTTTGCAGCATATACTCTGACCCCAGATGACATTCGAGTCATCACTAAAGGCCTCTTAAACCTCATGCAATACTCGCTCTTTGAACAAGAGTGGAAAAAACTCATTAAGAAATATGCTGAGGACTCACACCAGGCACTCCGTGTCCCTGTCCCAGACTTAATTAATGAACTGTATGGCGAAGGTCCATATACCTCCAGCAGGATGCAGGCACGAATACCATTTGTCAGGCTAGATAAAACGAAAAGCTTGGCTGTAGAAGCCATCAAAGCTGTGGCAGAAGCTACTACTACTTCTCCCTCTTTTGCTCACACACAGCAAGACCCTACAGAACCTTTTTATGACTTTGCTACAAGACTGAGGGAAGCTATAGCTAAGCAAGTGAAACCTATAGAAGCCCAAGATGCCCTGTTCATCCGATTGGCTATAGAACAAGCGAACCAACACTGCCAGCCTGTCCTCCGTTCACTGGTTAACCCCACACCTATGTCCATGATACAAGCCTGTAAAGAAATTACCTCAGGTAAACAGGAAACCAAAGTAATAGCAGATGCATTACTGGAAGTAGAACCAGTGCGAGTACAAGCCATCAAAGAAGCGATCATGGAAGCAGAAAGAGCTAATGCTGTGTACTATAAATGCAAGCAGCCAGGACACTTTGCAAAGGACTGCCCTAACCCAGATCCTACCCTTAAGCCTCCTAAGACTCTGTGTCCCAAATGCAAAAAGGGGTACCACTGGGCACGTTTCTGCCGTTCCACTTTCACCAGGGATGGGGATCCCATCCGATCAAAAGGAGGAGGAACCACCAGCCGAACCTATAACCAGCAGCCTCATCATATCATTCAGGGAAATGGACGATAGAGCGTGTGGGACCATGTGATGACTCCAAGTGTCCTGAACCTCCATCCACTAATGACTTACCAGAAATCCTTCTGTTTCCCACAGACAACATAATCTTAGACACTCTCGACCCCATTGCAATCTCTGTTCGCTCAAACCAAATCCTAAACAAAGATGACAAATTCCTACTGACTTCACACTTAGAATGCCGTGACAAAGGGATAACTATTCTCCCAGAAATAGTCTAACCTAAATTCACATGCTCTAACCATAAATGTTCAAGCCTCTTCTCTTCCAGTTCGACTGTACACTGATGTTCCACTAGCTCGACTGCAGCCTCTGCAACGCATGGAGAACTGCGCCCGAGAACACAACCCAATGGTAAACTGGGCCAAACAAATTTCCCACAACCGGCCCATGCTAACCTGTCGCCTTTACTCTCCAACAGCAAATCAGGAAATTACGGTTAATGGAATGCTTGATACAGGCGCAGATATGACGATCATAAGATCAAATGACTGGCCTACACACTGGAATACAACAAAGAGCGACACAGGCATAACAGGTATAGGTGGTCCTCAAACTCCCAGACAAAGTCAAGACATCATTCAGGTAACCAACACTGAAAACCAAGTGGCTACCACCAGGCCATACATTTTAAACCTCCCCTTTACTCTGTGGGGGAGAGACATTTTAGACCAGTGGGGTGTCTTCCTCACCTCAAATTTGTCTTAATGGTCGCTGGACACAGCCAGCCAATTCACCTGGATTGGGTTCCCTCCTCCCCAATCTGGGTAGACCAGTGGCCAGTTAGAGGAGAAAGACTCTCCATCTTACAAGAATTAGTTCACGAACAACTAAAATTGGGCCACATAACTCCATCTACCAGCCCCTGGAATTCTCCCATCTTCTGTATCAAAAAATCCTCAGGTAAATGGAGGCTACTCCATGACCTCCGAGCAATTAATGCCGTCATCAAACTGATGGGAGCTTTGCAACCAGGGATGCCTTCAGCAGCTATGATCCCAAAAGACTGGCCCATTGTCATTATTGACATCCAAGATTGTTTTTTCTCTATTCCCTTACACCCTGCAGACCAGGAAAAATTTGCCTTTTCCCTTCCAACACTGAATGTGGCAGAGCCTCTCCAGCGTTATCAATGGGCTGTCCTGCCCCAGGGGATGAAGAATAGCCCTACCATCTGCCAGCAATTCATTTCCAACATCCTCTCTCCCATCAGGTCTGCCTTTCCAGACTCTATCTGCTACCACTATATGGATGACATTCTGCTCGCTGCAAGCACTGATGCCAAAGTCCAACAACTGACAAGCGCAGTGCTGGATGCATTGCAACGCAATAACTTTACTATCTCTCCAACCAAAATCCAGACTTCCTCTCCCTGGAAGTACCTGGGTTGGCATATCACCAATCAGCAATTGTCCCACAGAAAATCTCCATTCCCTTGCAGATCACCACCCTAAATGACCTTCAAAAAACTCTGGGTACCTTAAATTGGCTACGCCCGGTAGTGGGTCTCTCCACAGATGACCTGCACCCATTGTTTGAACTGCTAAAAGGAGACCCAGATCTGACATCCCCACAGACACTGACTCCTGCTGCTAGAGATGCCTTAAAACTAATTGCCAACAAAGTAAATCTCTTTCAGGTACACCGACGGCTGGAGAAAGAAGAAGCTGTCCTTGTGGTGCTTAGAGGATCCACTCAGCCCTTCGCACTACTAGGCCAACTCTACGACGGGAACAGTAAGCTGTGTCTATGGGAGTGGGTCTTCCTCCCCCACCAATTCACAAAAACCATAGTTTCCCTTCCGGAACTATTGGCCAAATTGTGTTACAAGGGCAGGACCAGGTGTTGGGAACTCGCAGGTGTAGATCCCGCCTACATCTACCTCCCACTCACTTCCCAGCATCTAAGAACAACTCCTGATCATGAACCTGGACTTCCAAATTGCTTTATCTGACTTTGCGGGTGAAATTAAAATCCATTCCCCCCCTTGCAAATTTATCCAAAACATAGACAAAATTCCCCTTAAATACACTTCCAATTGGTCTCCTAATCCCCTTCCAAACGCCTTAACAGTCTTTACTGACGGCTCAGGTACCACAGGGAATGCTGTCATTGTTTGGAAAGAGGGGAATCATTGGCAACAAGACGTTCACAAGGTCCAAGGCTCTCCTCAGTTAGTTGAACTGTCAGCAGTTGTTCGTGCCTTGTCCTTGTTTCCAGACAACCTTAATATCATTTCTGACTTGGCCTACGTGGTGGGCCTTGTTCAGCAGTGCGAGAATTCGTACCTCAGAGAAATTAAAAATGAACAATTATTTCGGCTATTCCAAAAATTGCTTTCTGCTATAAATCACCGCTCTTCACCATTCTTTATCACCCATGTTCGCTCCCACACCACACTTCCTGGTCCAATAGTAGAGGGGAATCGACGAGCCGACCTCTTAGCAGGGTCAGCTGTCGTCCCACAGCGGTTAGAACAAGCCAAACTCTCTCACGATTTCTTTTATCAGAGTGCCCGAGCGCTACAAAAAGAATTTGGCCTCACTCAAAAACAATCTCGTGACATCATTTCAGCCTGCCCTGACTGTCAACTTATTACACCATTGCCTGCAGAAGGGGTAAACCCCCGAGGGTTACTCCCACTGCAAATTTGGCAGACAGATGTCACACACATTGACTCTTTCGGGAAATTGAAATTCGTTCATGTGTCTATTGACACCTGTTCAAATTACATTGTGGCCACCGCACACTCTGGTGAGAAGAGCCGTGATGTACAGAAACATTTCACCACAGCCTTTGCTCACATGGGCATACCCAAACAGATCAAAACCGGCAACGAGCCTGCCTATGTAGCAAAGAAAACTCAGGAATTTTTAGCCTTGTGGGGTGTGGAACACTGCACTGGTATTCCTCACTCTCCCACAGGTCAGGCAATTGTTGAAAGAGCTCACCAGACACTCAAATCCATGTTGAAGAGGCAGAAACGAAAGAGCAGTGGCCTCTCCCCACATGAGTGTCTGCAAAAAGCCATGTATGTCCCCAACTTCCTCAACAGGATTGAGGATGGACAGGCACCAGTTTTTAAACACTTTACCAAAACAAACTCCATTCCCATTGAAAAAGCCAAAGTACTTTACAAAGACTTGGTATCTGACCAATGGCTAGGCCCCTTCCCCATCATAACCTGGGGAAGAGGTCATGCATGCATACTCACTGATACAGGTCCACGATGGGTCCCCTCAAGAAGAATCAAGCCCTTCCTAGAGGACTCCAGACCCTCCTGATTCTCCACTTCTTGATTCCACCGTGGACCACCTCAGCTCTCTCAGTTCCGAACTGGATGCAGCAACCAACAGAAAACGTCTGGATCACCTTAGCCAAAGCCACCAATACAGACACAATGTGCCTTTCCCTCGACAGCGTGAGTCACCCCTTTAAAAGCTGTCTCGTGGGGATACCTGACTGGAACAGGTTTATCCAGAACACTTCCCTTATAGATAATTTCCTTCCTTCTTCAAACACTATTTCCCAACTTCTCCTACGTCAGGGAACCCTAGACACAGACCCCCAAGAGTTAGATCTTTTAGGCTCATCTGTAGCTATAACTTGCCTTAGGTTTAAACCCACTTCTAAACCCCTTACTCCAAAACCTAACATATCCCCCAACTCTATCATGTATACTAACACTACTGAATGGTGCAACTACTCCCAACCATACCCTCTTCCCACTGAACGTTTCTCTAAACCCACAAAACTACCTTCCACCTATTTTCTTATCTGTGGCGATAGAACGTGGCAAGGCATTCCAAAAAATCCTGTAGGAGGGCCATGCACCATTGGGAAACTTGCCCTGTACAACCCAGCTAAATTGCAAATAATCAGAAACCAAATTTCTAACAACCCAAACCCATTCGAAACAAAAGGGCTTTCATTTTAATGCGTACCAAATCTAAACCGCTCCCAATCGCTGAGGACGCTAAGCCACCGCCACGCAAGCCTCCTCCAAGCAATCCAGCCAAGGAGGATGATCTAAACATCCATGTCCCACCAGATTGTGACCCCAAATTTCAAATTTGGTCCCACACTCAGAGATTCTGGGCCAGTTTCCCATTCACCAATATTGGTGCAGCCAAAGCCCTCTCCACTCTAGCCCACATGGCCTGCTGGATGACCAAAGAAGCCAATGCCACTTCCCTTGCCATAGAGGACCTGCTAGCAGACACCCTGAAAATCAAAGAAGCTACTCTCCAGAACAGAGCAGCCATTGACCTTTTACTTCTCGCCCATGGTCATGGTTGCAAAGAATTTGAAGGGCTGTGTTGTCTGAACTTTTCAGACCACTCTGAGAGTGTGTACAAAAGCATCGACACTCTAAAAGGACTTGTTAGTGACATCACCATAAACCAAGACAAAGGTTTTTCAGGTCTCTTTAGTTGGCTTCACTTTCCTTCCCTTTCTGATTGGGTCAACAAGGTTGTTAAAGGAATAATCTTGTTCCTAATCATCACTTTCTCTATCCTTGTCTTCCTACCCTGTCTAATTTTTTGTGCTAAAAAATCCTTGACTAAGAGTTTCTCCCAAGTTTTTCCAGTCCTGAAAAACAAGAGAGGGGGAAATGTGGGGAGTGGACGAATGGAAGCTTACAAGGAATGCAGAGAGATGCTTCAAGGACAGAGGGCCTCTCAGGAAGACATCCATCTCGAAGTGCTCTGACAACTGGAGCCAAGGAAAATCCTGAAGTCCAGTGATAAGAAACAGGTCCTCCACAGGACCCCCCTCTCCTGTACCCCCTTTCCCTATATGGCCAGGCATATATTCCTGACCTATCTTTCCAAGCCCCCTTATCAGAAACCCTTTGGATTCGATGTTTCCTAGCACAAACCCACCCTTGTACCAGAACTTTCTATAGCCCCCCTATATAACCAGCTTTGTAATAAAGGAATTCGCCATTTTGCGAGCCATATAACACTTGTGTGTATGTTTCATGTTCCTATGCAAGATAGGCCCTGGGTCAATTGCGTGGACATCCCCCGCCATGCAAGATTCCTCCACTGGATTAATTTCAGTATTTTCAATGTCTTTCTCCTCTCTAATGAGAAACCCCAAAATGCACACTGTACTCCAAATTCAGAGGAGAATAATCACTTCTCTCACCCTAATGGCTACAGTCTTGCTAATATAGCCCAGTAGATTGTTGGTCTTCTTTGTTGCAGGGGCATACTGCTGACTCATGTTGAACTTATTTTCTACTAGTACCCTTAGATGCTTCTCTGCAAAGTTTTGTAGCCAGTTGCCCCCTAGTCTGTTGTGCTGAATGGGATTATTCCATGCCAGATGAAACACCTTGTATTCACCTTTGTTGGATTTCATGAGCTTCCTGTCAGGTCATTCCTCTAGGTTGTGACAGTCCCTCCAAATAGTAGCCTATGTACTGCTTCCCCTATTGCACAAAGGATTATGATACAGACTTACATACACAAAGAAGTGTTTTCAGAGTCTATAGCTGATGATATACATTGACTCTAGTGGTAAAAATACTTTTTGGGGGCAGAGGAGAAAGGAGAGAGAAATGGGAAAGGGAAACTCATCCCCAGTGGCCAGCTGGGAAAGAAATGATGGGTATCTCCAAAGTAACAACCTGTTTAGTCAGTCAGGTGGAGCTTAGAAAACCATAACTGACTTAAGGATAATGGTCTTGCAGGTAGTTGCAAACGCCTGCTATGGGACACCTGACCCAAGTTGACAAAAGGGATATTCCATGCCATATAGTATCATGTTCAGCAATAAAAATGGGGGAAAGAGGAGTTTTGGGTAGGTAGACATTGTTCAGAGGTTGGCTTGTTGTTGGTCTACTCGTGGGAGGGATTGAGTGACTGCCTTTGCATCACTTCTTTTTTTTTTCTTCTCTTTCTTCTTCCTCTTTCTTTTGCTCATTAAACTGTCATTATCTCATCCCACAAGTATTCTTGCCTTTGCTCTTCCTGTTGTCTCTCCCATCCTGCTTCAGGGGAGAATGAGCAAGCAGCTGTGGGGTGCTTAGCTACCAAATGGGGTCAAACCACCACAGAGGGCCTCTTGGTCAGACTCACTCCTGGTGTCTTCTTTGCATAAGGTGGGGGTTGTGTGTGGATCTCTTGATTAGTCTCACAGGTTTGGTCCCTAGTCCCACAGACATGTTCAAACATATTCATGTTCCCCACCCATTCAGGAACACTGAACACCCACTGGTTTAAACTCCTCCCACCAAAAACATGGTAGGGCTTGTTCAGCAGTTTTATAAAGCAGAGAGTCCCAAGCTTGTGTTTTATTTTTGTTTAATCTTCCTTGTTTTCCTATTTAAACTTTAATTATTAATTTTATTATATCTTAAAAAATTTCAGGAAGCAGACGTCAACAGCAGCAGTTCCCCATGCTGAGAGTGCAAGGTTTGTGAGGTACCCAGGGGATATCTGAGATGGTTTCTGGGCCCCCAACACCATTGGGCTGTGAGTGGAGGAGAGACCATCTGGCAGACAGCAGGTCTCACGAGAGGGGCAGGGGAGA